TCTCACAGTAGATGGGTGTTATGTGCACATTAACTATATTTAACCCACTTTTAAAGATTTTCTCTCACCTATCAAAAAAAAAAATCTCTTTATATATTTCCCCTTACAGTGTATTATATCTCTTTAAATCACTGTTTTACATTTCCTAAAACTTAATGCAACTCATAAGTTAGAAAGTTTTAATATATGTATTTCATTTACTGGTCAAATAGATTATACATATATATATATATATATATATATATATATATATATATATATATATATATCTCAAAAAAAATATTTGTTCTCACAGTTCTCGGATTAATGTACGATATATCAAATAGAATGAAAACCTCACTTCTTTCTATAATTATAAAAAAGAAAAAAAATATTCCCAATTAAAATTTGATACAGTTATCTTTTTTGTTAAATATATAGTTAAAAAATTATATTAAAAACACTTACTCATTATATATATAATATACATTTAAAATTTTAAACTTTAGAACTTACAATAAATTTTGATAAATAAATAAATAAATTTATATATATATATATATAATGAAACAAATGGGTGTTAAATCTTTATTAAAAAAAGAAGAAGCAAATGAGTGTTCAATCATCCCCACCTTAGGGGTGTAGTCCTATTTTGCCATTTCACAAAATGATGACTTTTTTTTTTTAAAAAAAAAAAATAATAATAATAATAATGTGTAAATTATCTATATAAAGGTAATTTGGACAAAGTCTATCTTATATATGTCATGTGGGACTTACTTGCACAAATTGATACTAGCTTTATGGGTGTTTTATGTATATGAGAGGTGTAATACTCATTGTAATTAAGCATACTATAGGGGTGTTTTCTTTACTTTATCGTAATACAAAAATGGGTTAAAACGAAGAAACTTTTGCAAACTTCATAACTCATGATGTAGATTTGACGTGTTTGTACAATTTGATACTTTATTTTGGGTCATATTTTTACTTATCAATTAATTGTTAGGGTGTAGCGGAAGTGGAAGAAGTGACAACAATCACCAAAAATCGGGTACAGACAAGTGCAATTAGTTCCACTTCTCAAAATCATGGTTGTAACCTTCTGCCAAAGTGCACTTTGTCAAAATGTTGTCCATGAACAACAAGAACACATGAATATCCAACCAAAGCAATAAAGTATCAACAAAACATTGCACAACACAAGATTTACATGGTTCACCCAATCACAAGGCTACGTCCATGTATAAGGAGATTTCACTATAATGATAAGGAGATATTACAATTTGTAGAGAATTACTAATAGCGAAACATATTGTACACTCACTCTCACGTGTAAAACAAGAGTTACGCGGGGTGTGGAAACAGTTAATTTTAATTGTGATTAACTCCTTTAATGACCTAGATCTAATTATTAGGTCAACTTGCTTAATTTATGATTGATTAAATTGCATGATCAATTAAACATCCACAATCATAAATATAAATACTGAAAAGTAAAGTAAGTTAAGTTTAGAGAGATTGCACCAGGATTTTTAGCGAGGAAACCCCAGTTGATAAAATACGTCAACTGTTATGGGAAAAACCTCATGGACTATGCAGTCCAAAGTAAACCAATCCACTATGTTTGAAACAAAGTATACCGAACTTTGACTCTGACTCACACCCTATCGTTCTACACCACACCAACCGCTGACGATCCTCTGGCTTTGCGACTCCCCGTTCAACAGCAACTTGATCTCAGGCTTACACTTGATATTTGTAGAAGAGTAGCAGGTAGATCAGACAGCACTCCACGAATGCTCCAACCCTTTAAAAGTGTGATAGCGCTTACTTCTGTTCTTCAAGATCTGAACTCGATTGTAGAAGAATTAAATCTTGCTTCTCATCTGGAATATCTGAATCTTCAATATAGCTTCGATTCCGATGAGATAGAGAACAACACCACTAAATCAGTCATGAATATATGTGTATGCTCTCATAAATAAATTCATAATAATCATATTTGATTTTCTGAATTTTCTCTCTCTAGAAGGCTTTCTCAAAATATAGAATTGATTTTCCCTCAAGCCATACATAAACCAATGTATATGACAAGGTTTATATAGAGTTTTGAAAGTCCTAATCCCTCAGAAAAATATGATAAATTTCGTACATAGGGCTTAGAAGGAAGCTGGGATAAAAAAGGAAACATTAGAAGAAAGAAACTGGAAACCTGATGCATCTAGGACTTCTTGAACCGGTTCACCCATCTTGAACTGGTTCAAGATGGACAGTAAGGAATCCCACAGATTCTTGAACCGGTTCAGCCCTCTTGAACCGGTTCAAGATGGTCAGTCTTAAAATTTTAGCATTCTGATGATGTTGAACTTAATCGATAGATCTTGAACCAGTTCAAGATGGATAAAATGTAAAAACTTGTTCCGAACCTTTCGAAACCCTTCCTAAATGTTCTCACTACCTCTCAAACTTCTTAGAGGGTTGTTCTCATCATCTCGGAGTATAGTATATTTTGAACAGTTAACCTTCTTCAAATCCGCATCGGATCTTCAATCTTCGATATTTTTACATCAAAAATTACAACTCGATCAGACTCATTTTGACATCGAAATTAGCCAATTATAAAATATATCTCATAATCTCCCCCTTTGGCAATTTTGTGACAAAACCCTAAAACAATTTAGCAATCTACCCAAGCAGGAAAGTAAATTACATTGAATGTTAAAGGAAAAAAAAAAAACCGCGGACATTTTCTTGAACCTCATGAAGCTTCAACACATGTAGCAACCTGTAATCTGCACATTAGCTCAAACACAACTACCCGTGAAGCTTAATCAAGAAAATAAACACAAGCATAAAATAGCAAAGCTAAAAATGCCCTGAATGTCAATGCAATGGAATGCAATGAACAATGGTTCTCCCCTTTAGTGCAAAAAGTATTTCTCCCCCTTAATGCAAAAGTATCTCCCCCTGAATGATAAGACTTTAATCTCTATCTCCTCCTTTTTGTCACAAATTAACAAGGGTCTCAAGGAAGACAAATCCTAGAAGTAAGAAGCAACCAACCATATAATTCTTGTAAATCGAACTCAATGAGAATGTAGACTCCACAAGATTATATGTATCAACAGAAATAACCAAGATTACTTCTTTAAGTTCCACAAACTTAGTAAGTGTAGTAAAATCACCACCAAGTTCCAAAAACAATGATCTGTCAATTGTTCAGATTTCAGATAATAAATCAATGATATCACATATCCTTAGAAATCAAACAATCAACATGTGCAAAAGACATTTTTTTTCTCTTTTTGTGCTCCTTTTCTTTTTTTTCTTTTTTTTTTTTTTTTCTTTTTGCACCCTGGCGGCTTTTACTCTTATGGGAAGCCAACTCTTTCCCTTATTCCCATTTGTTTCGAGTCAAGGTAGCTTTCGAACAATTCCCAAAGGTAGCCTTTTCCACCTCACTTTTTTTCAAAAACAGCAAATATTTGTCTTTCTTTTTCAAAAACTATTTCATTCTAAACTATTTTTCAATTTTCTTTTTCTTTTCACTTTTTTGGTCTAAAACACATAAATCAAGTTTAAACCCCAAGACAATAATCAATCATATCAACATTATCTTCGACCAAAACAACGAAATCTCAAGTAAATGTATTATCAATGATTCATTTACTATACGAAATAAGTAAGTAAAACCAATTTCATCAAATCAAATCATAGTAATTGTATGCTTTCCACAGATAATTCATGTGTCATTAAACTCCTTGTGTTCAATATACTCAATCAATATGGTTTGCTTAACTTCCCAAAAACATAATCTAGCACTCAATATATGCATGAAAATCCTTTCTAGACTATGTCTTTGCAATGCATCTAATCAAGACAACAAACACCAATAGATTTCCTAAAATGAGAGAACTTAGGAGCATCTAATGGTTTAGTAAGAATATCAGCCAAATTTTGATCAATATGCACTTTTTCCAAAGACACGAAATTTTGTTCAATAAGTTCCCTAAGAAAGTGATGTCGAATGTCAATGTGTTTAGTCCTAGAATGCAAAACTGGATTCTTTGAAATATTTATTGTACTAGTATTATCATAAAAGATAGAAATAGTACCTTGATCAACTCCATAATCCAGAAGCATCTGTTTTATCCAAAGTAATTGTGTGCAACAATTTTCAGAAGCAATGTATTTAGCCTCGCAAGATGATAAAAATATGCAATTTTGCTTCTTGCTGTACCATGAAACAAGATTAGTACCAATATAGAAACAACCATCGGAAGTACTCTTTCTATCATTCTTGTTTCCAGCACAATTAGCATCAGTATAGCCTGCAATCTCAGAGTTAGAATCAGAAGAATAACGTAATCCATAATTCAATGTATTATTGACATAACGAATAATACGCTTGACTGCAAGGATGTGTTGTTCTCTAGGATCAGTTTAATACCTAGCACAAACACCTACAATAAATGAAATATCTGGCCTAGTTGCTGCCAATTACAACAAGCTACCAATCATACTCCTATACAAGAAATGATCAACCTTGTTAGGATCAGAGTCTCTATCCAATTTGGATGAAGTACTCATAGGAGTTTGAATATACTTTGAATCTTTCATACCAAACTTTTTAACTAGCTCCTTTGCATATTTTGATTGAGATATGAAAATCCCATCACCAAGTTGTTTCACTTGGAGACCTAAAAAGAAAGTTAGTTCACCAACTATGCTCATTTCAAAAGTATTACTCATATCTTTAGAAAAATTATGAACAAGGTTACCACAAGTAGCACCAAAAATAATAACATCCACATATATTTGAGCAACAAGAAAATATTTCCCTTTCCTGAAAATAAACAAAGTTTTATCCGCTCCTCCTCTTCTGAAGCCCTTGTGCAATAGATAAGAAGTCAACTTCTCATACCATGCTCTAGGTGCTTGCTTTAAACCATAAAGAGCCTTTTTAAGATGAAAAACAAAATCAGGATTATGTGGATCAATAAAACCTTTCGATTGTGCTACATAAACTTCTTCCTGCAAAATACCATTAAGAAAAGCACTTTTAACATCCATTTGAAACAATTTGAATTTAAAGTGGCATGCAAGAGCAAAAAGAAGTCGAATAGACTCAAGTCTAGCAATAGGTGCGAAAGTCTCATCAAAATCAATTCCTTCAACTTGAGTGTATCCTTGTGTAACTAACCTAGCTTTATTCCTCATCACAAGACCATGTTCATCAAGTTTATTTTTGAAGATCCATTTGGTCCCTATGATATTAACATCACTAGGTTGAGGCACTAATTACCAAACATCATTCTTCACAAATTGAAGCAATTCTTCTTGCATAGCTATAAGCCAATCAGAATTTTGAAGAGCTTCATCAACATTCTTAGGTTCAAACTGAGCCATGTGACATGAGTGAACTATATCATCTACAATGCATGAGTGTCCTACATCATCACGGACTATACTCCTAGTACCATGCTTATTCCAAGGACCTATCACATTATCAATTGGATGACTCAATCTAATTCTAGAACTGCTAGATGCAGGAACTCCTATAGGTTTATCAGTGGTAACCTCTAATTCCTCATCCTTATCTTCTTTAACCTATTCACCTTCTCCACCTAAATCCTCAACTCTTTCTTCTTCTTGAATAGCAAGTACTTTCCTTTCTCCGGCAATTTCAAATTTAGTTTCTTCTTCATCAAGTTGAGAAGAGGTTATCTTAGATTTTGTATCATCAAATACAATATTTATACACTCCACGACCACTTTGATTAAAAACCCTATAAGCCCGACTAGCTTGTTAATAACCCAAAAACACACCTTCATCACTTCTAGAGTCAAATTTTCCTAAGTGTTCCCTATCTCTAAGGATATAACATTTACTTCCAAAGACTCTAAAGTATTTAACAGTGTAAAACAAGAGTTACGCGGGGTGCGGAAATAGTTGATTTTAATTATAATTAACTCCTTTAATGACTTAAATCTGAGTATTAGGTTAACTTGCTTAATTTATGATTGATTAAATTGCATGATCAATTAAACGTCCACAATCATAAGTTAAGTTTAGAAAGATTGCACCAGGAGTTGATAAAATACGTCAACTGTTATGGGAAAAACCTTATGGACTATGCAGTCTAAAGTAAACCAATCCACTATGTTTGAAACAAAGTATACCGAACTTTGACTCTGACTCACACCCTATCGTTCTACACCACACCAACCGCTGACGATCCTCTGGCTTTGCGACTCCCCGTTCAACAGCAACTTGATCTCAGGCTTACACATGATATTTGTAGAAGTGTAGCAGGTAGATCAGACAGCACTCCACGAATGCTCCAACCCTTTCAAAGTGTGATAGCGTTTACTTCTGTTCTTCAAGATCTGAACTTGATTGTAGAAGAATTAAATCTTGCTTCTCATCTGGAATATCTGTATCTTCAATATAGCTTCGATTCCGATGAGATAGAGAACAACACCACTAAATCAGTCATGAATATATGTGTATGCTCTCATAAATAAATTCATAATAATCATATTTGATTTTCTGAATTTTCTCTCTCTAGAAGGCTTTCTCAAAATATAGAATTGATTTTCCCTCAAGCCATACATAAACCAATGTATATGACAAGGTTTATATAGAGTTTTGAAAGTCCTAATCCCTTAGAAAATATGATAACTTTCGTGCATAGGGCTTAGAAGGAAGCTGGGATAAAAAAGGAAACATTAGAAGAAAGAAACTGGAAACCTGATGCATCTAGGACTTCTTGAACCGGTTTAGTCATCTTGAACCGGTTCAAGATGGACAGTAAGGAATCCCACAGATTCTTGAACCGATTCAGCCCTCTTGAACCGGTTCAAGATGGTCAGTCTTGAAATTTTAGCATTCTGATGATGTTGAACTTGTTCGATAGATCTTGAACCAGTTCAAGATGGACAGAATGTAAAAACTTGTTCCGAACCTTTTGAAACCCTTCCTAAATGTTCTCACTACCTCTCAAACTTCTTAGAGGGTTGTTTTCATCATCCCGGAGTGTAGTATATTTTGAACACTTAACCTTCTTCAAATCCGCATTCGATCTTCAATCTTCAATATTTTTACATCAAAAATTACAACTCGATCGGACTCGTTTTGATATCGAAATTAGCCAATTACAAAATATATCTCACATCACGTACCTAGAGTATTCCTTATGCAACTAGTTGCCTAGGTATAGGAGGAATACCCTAGCTTTATACCTTGTACTGCGAGACGCCCTCTCGCCACGAGACACCATCTCATCTTCAGTGTTCACTCGACCAAACGTAATATTCTTTACCTATCAACTCACAATTGAAGCACTCACAATTCTCACACAATTTTCACTCAATTATTTCTCACAAAAGCTTCATTCAGTTTACACTCACTCATGAGGTTGCCCTTTTGAGCTACATTTCTCTCTACTCATACCTCTCAACATTACCTTAGGTTTGGTAAGCTATCAATAAATAATGGAGGCAATTTTATTAGGATCGAAAACACATCATGCTACGGAAGGGCCTTTGGCCTAGAGGTATAACCTCCCCATCCTCAAAGAGGAGTGTTGGGTTTCGAGCCCGGGTATGGACAAAAGGGTGTGTGTGTTTGCTTTACCATTCGAAAAAACCAAAAAAAAAAAAAAAAAAGAAAAGAAAAAGAAGAAGAAGAAGAAGAAGAGAAACCACCATACTTCTATTTTATTTCATTTTGAAGGAAACATGCTCATTCATAAGAGTTTATATATGATGGAAGCACATATAAATTTTCAATATGAAGAATGTGCCACAAAAGAATATGACAATGTGCCACAATGGGGCTCCTCACATGATGCATACCATCAAACCATACCAATAACCTGGATAGTACATTTTTCTATATCTGTGGCTGTGACAGTAACCACAAAAGATTGCTTCTAATGTAGTGACTTAAAAGTAAGGACATTCCGCTCAACTTGGATATCAAGCCCTGGGCTACCACAGTTGCCTTGTAAATGGACACTGGTGAACCAACATTTGTGACGATCCTATGGAAGACACGGGTGATGATTTTTTAGACCGAAAAGATAGAACAAAGGAAAGATAATTTAGATCCTAAATGATCCCATTGTTGGCTTTAGAGCAACTGCTATTGTTTAGTGACAAGTTTCAATGACTTGGTGTTATAACCTTGGCAACACAATAATTTCACATAGTCAAGCATTTCGGCATCATATACTAAACCTGGTTTTGTAGCTTTTAATGGATCAATATGACTCGCCCCATATGCAAACTTGGACGAGCTCCAAAAGACAAAGTATAACCGTTACAACATAATAATGGTAAATATAATATAGGCTAAATTAAAAAATAAAAATAAAAAAGAAAGTCGATCTGAACTATTGAGGAATCAGCAACTAACCCCCTGAACTATTAAAATTGCAACTAACCCTTAAACTATACATTTTTGTTATAGATTGCCCCTTCCAGCAAACGTCCGTTCTAAACTTGCCATCAAACAACTATGTAACTGTCATGGGACCCTCGATATATAAAATTAAAGTTCATTTTAATTTGTTGTTTCTAACTTACATTCGATCTGCCTTATATGTCAAAAGGAGCTAATTGATGAGCATTGTTAATACAAAGAAAAATCATAGTTGTAATAATGGAGGACAACTGATTTACATTTTTTAAGCACTCAATTAATGGGATGGTATTATGTAGGGAAAAAAATCACATAACCGCCCCCCTACTATCATTTTCGTTTAAAAAAACACTCCACTAAAAAAAAAAAGGATCCATTTATTAGGTTGTGAAATGATAAAATTAATTTTATAATTTAATATTAAATTTAAAACTGATATTTATTATTATTAAAACTGATATTTATGATTTAATATCAGTTTTATTATCAATATATAGATATATATATAGAGCTAACGGTAAGTCATTGGCGATGAGGAAGGTGTGCTCACTCAATTTTTTTGGGGTCGGTTTTGAAGCAATTGACGGGGCAGGAGGGTGGGGGCGCCACCACCACCACCACCGCCGCCGCCGCCGCCGCCAACCACCACCATCTTGCTTCCAAATCGCAATTGAAATCTAGGGCTCGGCCAGATGCAGAAGCTACCGATTTAACAACTAATCATCAATTCAGTTTGAACATATAACTCTGTGTAATTCAATTCAGTACAACTGTACAACAACTAATCATCAAAGGAAAAATAAATAAATAAATAAATCCTCCACCATTCTCACATAGTGAAGGGCATAATCAGTGTAATTGATCGTTTGACCTATGTTTAAGATCTGTAAATAGTTTTGTCACATTAATTTAATAATTTGGCTTCCTAAAGAGAAATTCGATCAACAGGGCCCAAGAATCGTAGTACCCAGTATGAGGAAGCTTTCGATATCTCGAAATGGAATTGATTGGATAAAATTATAACATTAATCTACTATCGTCAACATAGATATATAAACAACTGATTTTGATTTGTTTCCCCGACATTCACACTCACATATCTCGAATATATACACACATGTATATATATACATAAACATAAAGCTAATATGTGCAATGCAATATATGAGCGTCTAAACAAATACAAGAATACAGATCAATACAACTGTGTTATAGAAGAGAGAGATCACAGAGAAACTTTCGCAGAAGAGAGAGAGTCGTATTGGGCCTTCCCAAATTCTTGATCTCCGCTGGATCGCTTGGATTAGGAACTTGTGGAATGATGAAGCTTGGTGAGTTGGTCGGTTCGCGCCGTGTTTGGATGAAAGAGAGAAGCTTGGTGAGTTGGTCGTTTCGCTCCTTCACCTGCATCAACAGCCTCAAGAAGCTTACCGGAATCTTGCTTGGAGATGGGTCTAATTTTTGGGTGTGAAATGGAGGAGAAAAGAAAAGATTAGATAGTTTTAGTTAGGAGATTAGAGGAAAGGAAAGGAAAGGGAAAGATGTAATAATTTTTAGGATTAATTTCATCAATACGTTTGTCTGTATTTTATTTATATATATTTTATTTACATTCTTTTTACGTATTATAATTTTATCTACACCCCTTGTCAATAAGCACGGTTTAATTTCTTAATAGAATTGTGTGATTTTACTTTTCTGTCCATAAATTATGTATTAAAATTTATAATTTAAATGAAAAGACTTAAACACCCTCTGTTTCTCTCTCCCTCTCTCCAAACTATTTCTCTCTCTCTCCACACAAACACAACGTTTTTTTTTTTTTTTTTCTCTCTCAAATATTGAAACAACATACACCCTGACCCTTATGTATATATGTATGCATCACCAGCAAGCCCCGAGTCCGTGACTCAATAATTTCATAGTGTTTTTAATTCAAAACTGGTGAGAGGTTCTTCAATAAAATAGTGTTTTTAATTTCATACCATCGCCACCCAACAACCACCAGCGGTCCAGCACAACCATCTCCACCCCCTATAAACACCACCAAATCTTCATGTCCATGGATATTTGAAGACCCATTTGTTAATGTGCTCAGCAATATTCAAGGACCAGTTGTTCTTATTCACTTACATATGTACATTAAACGTTCATGGTATCAGTCCATTAATCAATTGCACATACCAGTGTAATTACAAAATAATAATAATAATAAAAAAAATAAATAAAACAATTTCATTCCAGAGAAGGTGGGTGAGTATTGGCGTATTGGGTATATATGTAACGCATGTTATGTTGAAATATATATATATATATATCAGCCGCTAATGGTTTGTTCTAGGAATTACACTCGCAGCATGGAGGGGGATCATTGACTAACACCCTAGTAAGAATTTAGAGCTTTGGCGATTGCGGGTTCGAGGATTTTGAGTTCCAATTGATAATAACATATGGAATTCAGTTGAGAATGACCTTCAAACCTTCTAATTTTAACCTTCAGACCTTCGATTTTCTTTATCTGATTTCAATGCTGCAATCCTCTGTGTTTTGATAATCCCCTCAAGTTGTGGATCAATTTTTGAAATGAAGCTCTGTATACGATCTCTATATTTGTATACCTGAAGCACAATTCAGTCGAAGCTCAGCCATGGTCACCATCACTGAAACTGATCAGTACCCGATGGATCGCTGAAGCTCAGTACTTGTCTTCATCTTTGGTTGGACTTGTTTGATCTCTAAAACTTTCCATTGCCCACGTTTTCACATTGATGGAGGGTCTGTCTCCGCCTTTTAGAGCTGATGAACAGTGCTTTTTTTTTTTTTTTTTTTTGGGAGGGTTCTCTCAACCTATATATGCATTGGTAGAAGTGCTTTTGAAGATAAAAAATAAGAAGAAAAAAAATATAAGGGAAGATTTGTAACTATGCAATGGTCAATGAGGTTCAAAATGTCATTTCGCCATTGTGAAGGGCAAAATTGACCTTGTACCAATTTGTTCATGCTAACACCGTCCGTTGCTTAACGGCAGGGGGTAATTTGCTACATAAATCAAAACTTTAAGGGAGGTACGTAGAGGAGGTGTAAGTGAAATATAGACAAACTTCAAGGGGTGTAGGTGGAATTAATCTTAATTTTTATTTGTGTTTGAATAGATAAGAGAGAAAATAAAAGAAAGGATAGTTATTCTTGTTTGGATAAGATAGAGGAAAGAAAAAAAAAAAAAAAAAAAAAAGATAGTAACCAAATTACTGTCTTACCTTTCGTAACAACATGACCCTAAGAAACTACCTAATGGTGCAATATTAATATTTTTTTTTCTAGCCAGACATCCTCATTAAGAATGTATAATATGCTTACGCAAAAGGTAAATTTTTGCAATTCATTCGATAACAGTTCTTTTAGTTGTCACTTACCAGTGATGAAATTCTATCATCCAGGAATTAGTTACCCATCAGGCCAATGCTGTTTCGCTAGTCAACCCTACCTTGAGAATTTCTGGGAGGTGTTTAGTGGTTAACTGAACCTAAAAAATGGCAAATGAACACTATATATATGAAGAATGGTCTGAATATTAATATACGTTTTGCTGTTTATTTCTCCTCTTCCAAATGTCCCATCCTATGTACGGCTAATGGAGTACAGTTTTGAGACAAAATTATGAATTCTAAAAACTACATAAATGGTGTTGAACAACATAGAGGGATAAAAATGAGGGTACAGTTAAGGGGACATAAATGGAATTACATTTTAGTAGGTTGATTTTTAAAGGGTATTTTTGGTATTAGTAATATACAACTTATTCCATTATTCTTTCTCTCCCTATCTTCTCAAATTGAGAGAGAAAGCCAACAAGTGATAAGGAGGGATAGCTATTCTTCCCTTTCTCTCCCTATCCCTTCCTATCTCTCCACTTAACCTGTCCAAACACACCCTCACACTATCTTCTCTTTTCTTTCCCTATCCCTCCAAATCAACCATACCAAACACATCCTGAGAGAGAGAGAGAGAAAGGTAAAAGTTCTAGAGAGAGAAGAGGAAGAAGAAGATGGCCATTTTCGTAATTTCACAATAAATAATAGTTTTTAATTTAATATTAAATAATAAAGTTAATTTTGTCATTTCACAACCTAATAAATTGTTGGATTACAAGTATGTGGTAACTTGATAATATTTTTTTTAATTAAGGGGATATTTAACTTTAGTGGGGGAATTTTTGAACAGAAATGATAGTGGAGAAAGGTTATGTGATTTTTTCCTATTATTTATTACTAAATAAAATTAAAGAATGAACAACAGATCACCCAAATTATATCATTGTCGAATAGTGTTGTGCATTTAAAAAAAAAATACATTCGTGACATTAGACTAGATGTACTACGGATAGAATATTCCAGTTTGTTGGCTAACTAATCAGTCGGACTGTTCAGTAAATTTGTCTGGAATTTTCCTTTTTAGTCTTTAATTGATACACCCTTTGATTGATTTTACTCTCTTCTTAAACAGTTTTCTACTTGATACCAACACAGTGAGCAGTTCTGATCTTGCCTTGGTGTTTTGAAAGAAAACTAATTGTGGAGAGTGAAGGGGAAGAGATGAGAAAGAAAATAACGGGTTTGATGGAAAAGGTAGATCTTAGTCTCAAGAAATTAAGGTGGCTATTCATACCAATCCTTAGAGAGTTTGGTCAATTAAATGTTCTCATTAGGAGGCTTAAGGCGAGAAATTAATTTGAAAAGTACTTTATAGGAAATATATACAATGAATTCAATTTACTTTGTCACTAGAAAAGAAAATCAATTAAAGTCTGTATTTGGCTGAATAGAATTGAAATTTTAAAATCGGAGTTGAAGGAAATTTAAATTTTAGTTTAATTTTGTGAGTTATTTTTCTCCAATTTCATGTAACCAAACATAGCCTAAGTAACATTTTAAGTAATTATATTTATATAAAGTCTTTCTACTATCTTTATTTACAAGGTGCTGTTTTGTTTTTTGGTTTTTGTTTTTTGTTTTTTTGAAAAGAAAAAATCACTATAAAAAAAAAAGGGCTTGTTGTCAAATCTTATTTTCTGACTTTAGGGCTTATTCAAAATTGTTTTTGATTGATCTTGGCAATAAATAGAGGAGGCAATTTCATTTGGATCATAAAAACACAATGCTTCTCTTTTATTTCATTTTGAAGGAAACATGCTCGGTCATACACAAAAGTTTATATATGGTGCAAGCATATATAAATTGTCAAGAGGAAGAATGTGCCACAAAAGAAGAATGTGCCACAATGGGGCTTCTCACATGATGTACACCATCAAACCACACCAACGACCCCGAAATTACTTTTTTTTATCTATATATGTGGCCTTGACAGTACCAACACAGTGAGCAGTTCTGATCTTGCCTTCTTGTTATGAAGGAAAACTAATTCTGGAGAGTGAAGGGGAAGAAATGAGAAAGAAAATAACGTGTTTGATGGAAAAGGTAGTGTAGACACTAAAATTTTAGTGGGCTTTGGTTTTGACAAATGGACCCATTAAATATGGGCCTGATGTTTAATTAAGTTATTTAATTGCCCAAGCTTGGTCCACTTAAATTATTTAATTAGCCCAGCCCAGATGGTTAAATAAACTGATAATTATTTCTAATAAAATATATTTGGAATAATTATTTTTAAGGATAATTATCATAATATAACTGGCCCCGCCCAGTTATAATTTTATCCTTATCAGGAGATGACATGTCTTATCATCCTATCAACCCAAGAAGCCTATAAATAGAGGCCTAGAGGAAGAAGGAGGGGATACAAATTCAGAGTCCAGAAATTTAGAGACTCAGAAATCCAGAAAGTCCAGAAATTGTGAGAATCAAAAATCTAAAGGGTTAGAAATCTCGAGGGCAAACCTGAAGGCGAAGAACACCAAGTATATCCAAAGTCGTACCGTTCTTCACCAAATTCAACAAATTCTCTAATCTCTGAAGACAAAGAACAACAAGTACATCCAAAGACGTGCCGTTCTTCCTCAAATTCAACAAAAATTGTACTCCATCTTTACAAATTAATAAAGTATTCTATTTGCTCTCAATTTTGTTCTTATTTGCAAACTACAAAATTTGTGTGTACAGGTAGATCTTTGTCTCGAGAAATCAAGGTGGCTATTCATACCATTTCTTAGAGAGTTTGGTCAATTAAATGTTGTCATTAGGGCCAGGCCTCGATAATATTGAGGCTTAAGGAGAGCAATTAATTTGAAAAGTAGTTTATACAAAATATATACAATGAATTCAATATACTTTAACACTAGAAAGGAAAACCAATTAAAGGAAGCTTGCATTTGGCTGAATGGAATTGGAGCTCTGTAATTGGAATTGAAAAAAAAATTTAGTTCAATTTCATGAGTTGCTTTTCTCTAATTCCATCACTTCCAATTCAATGGTTCCAATTTTATGCAACAAAACATAGCCTAAGTAACATTTTAAGTCATTATATTTACATGAAGTCTTTCTACCATCTTTATTTACAAGGTGCTTTTTTTATTGCGCGAAAAGAAAAAATCACTATATAAAAAAAGGGTAGGTTGTCGAATCTTATTTTCTGATTTGGGGGTTTATTCACAATTATTTTTGATTGATCTTGGCAATAAATAAAGGAGGCAATTTCATTTGGATCCAAAGAAACACCATGCTTCTCTTTTATTTCATTTTGAAGGAAACATGCTCACACACAAGAGTATATATATGGTGCGAGCATATATAAATTGTCAAGAGGAAGAATGTGCGACAATCGAAGAATGTGCCACAATGGGGCTCCTCACATGATGCACCCCATCAAACCACAACAATGACCCAGAAATTACATTATTATCTGTATATGTGGCTGTGACAGTAACCACAAAGGATTGCCTCTGACCTAGTGACTTAAAAGTAAGGACATTCGGCTCAACTTGGATCTCAAGCCCTGCAGGGGCTACCACAGTTGCCTTGTAAGTGGACACCGATGAACCAACATTTGTGACGGTCCTGTGGAAGACACGGGTGATGGATTTTTCAGACTGGGAAGATAGAGTAAAGGAAGGATAATTTAGATCCCAAACAGTCCCATTGTTAGCTTTAGAACAACTGCTATTGTCTCCGGTGACAAGTTTCAATGACTTGGTGCTATAACCTTGGCCACACAATAATTTCACATAGTCAAGCACTCCGGCATCATATACTAAACCAGGTTTTGCAGCCTTTAATGGATCAATATGACCCGCCCCATATGCAAACTCAGCTTCAGGGTTAATGACACTGCTCATTGGACGAGCTGTAAAAAACAAATTAAAGAAGTAGGGGCATGTTAATGGATGTTTAGAATTGCTTGCAGAAATTACTATGTTATTGAATTACCAGTTGTCATCAGAGCAGACTTAATAGCAGCGGGAGACCATCCAGGGTTAAAAGATTTCACATAGGCAGCTGCTCCGGTAGCATGTGGGCAAGCCATGGATGAGCCGGAAATTATATTATAAGGAACTACCCTTTTGTCTCCATCTATTTGCGTGAGAGTGGTAGCCTGCGACCATGCAGCAACAATTTGCACTCCAGGAGCAGTTAAGTCAGGCTGCACAAAATTAAACAAAGTGTAGTATTATAAAACCAAAACCCACGCACGCACGCACGTATGTATGTGTATGCACTATGTATGCATAAGATACCTTGAGAATGTCCCTTGTAATTGGGTTTGGTCCTCTTGATGAAAATCCAATCACATATGGAGCCAATTCGTCTTTAATCCCCTCACTTTTCTTGATAGTTGCGGTAGGCTTACTGTAGAGTTAGTTTTATCCAAATTGTTAAATATGCTGTGATCAATAAAATGTGAAAAAAGAAAAGAAAAGAAAAGAAAAAGAAAGTCTTTTAATCTATTTACCCAGTTGATTTCATGTACTGGCGAACACCTTGATCATCACTCAAATAGGAGGCAGGCAAAACGTAAGCTCCGCCACGAAGTTTGGCGCGTCCAGCGGTAAGTATGATTCCTTTCACACCAGCACGGAGTGGTTCTGATCCGTTAGAATCCGAATCACATAGAAGGATTGTGTCTTTCACTAAAGTTCGGTCCAGTGAGCCTGGTTCCTTGCAGCGCCTGCATTTCATGATCATTTTTTTTTTTTTTTTTTTTTTTTTTTTTTTTTCCAATCATCAATATTCTGTGATGTACGGATATGATTTGTTATATTTCCTTTTTTTCTTCCTTACCTGGATACGGATTTATTAAATCCAGCTTGAGTATTCGGTACGTCCCCAGCATAAACTAAAGGGTACTGACGATTGAGCGTAAAAGTGTTTAAAGAGACTCCCTGCATGTAAAAAAGAGTTTTAGAACTAAATAACAAAGCACATTTGAAGGGTGGAGGCCAACATTAGGTATAACCCATTGATTGTGAATGTGTATTAAGGCCAATTACATAAAACCGCCAATGACTTGTATCGATTTGCTTTAAACTCCACTTTAAAGAGGTAGTAGTTACTTTAAAGAGCCTATTACTAAAATAATTACGAAGTCAAATGAAATTTTATGCAATTTTCCTATTACTTACTGTTTTAGATAATGTGTAGATATGTGAGGCAAAGCTGATGTTCATTCACAAGCGCCAAAATTAAAGAATTTATTTTTATTTTTTAAACAAGAATTACCTTTATTAACACAAGAATGAGATTGTTAAAACAAAAGATAGATATACTAACCTGGGGAAAAAAAAAACTTGCTTGTAAACTCTCTCTTGGAGGAACAGTACTAGCTGTAGGTATGAACCCCCAAAAGTATAAGGATTACGTATTTTCATTTTTTGTGGCTAAACGTCTAAGAATTTAAAAGTTGGAAACAAACCTTCAACCACAGGTAACATATGTATGCATATTTAGTAGTACAATAAAATTAATCTAGTGTAAAATCAATAGCTGTTTTATGCGTTCAATTACTTTTACTTTTTGACTTTTTGTAATTAAGATTTATTTTTGTCAATCTCATATACTTATTATATATACACACACGTATTACATAAAATATTATATAAATACATATTGATATGCAAGAGATTGGAGAGGACATGCTTGGTCACCTCATAGGACATATTGTTGCCCAACTGCACCATTGTGACAAACCTTCTGTCTATGGTGCCAGCAGCCACTGCGAGAGACCATGGTGCGTTATTTCTGATGGTTTCAAAAGCAGGACCCGAATTACCGGCAGAAAAGGATGTGAGTATTCCGTTCTTCATAGCATGGAAAGCGCCAATGGCACTGGGATTTTGAAAATAATCCAAGGGAGTATACTTCCCACTACGTCCAACGGACATTGAGATTATATCAACTCCATCAGCAATTGCATCATCAAATGCTGCAAGGATATCGGCATATGAACAACCAGTAGCCCAACATATCTTGTACACAGCAATGCGAGCCGAGGGAACCCCTCCCCGAGCTGTACCCTCGCCCAAGCCTAATAAGCTTGCGCCGTTCACTAAGCGCCCTGCTGCTATAGAGGCACAGTGTGTCCCATGACCACCTGTATCTCTTGGTGATTCAACATCTTTTTCAGGTATTGATCCTCTGGCATAGTAGTATTTAGCTCCTATAAGTTTACTGCAAAGTATTCAAAATTTTAGTGGCAGCTAGCACAAGCAATTAATATATGCATTCATGTAATTTATTTATGGGTATGGTAGTACTTGTTGCAAGTGAAATTTGTTGAGGATTGGCAAGAGCCCTTCCATTTGCTTGGAGGCGGGCCAAATCCTGTGTCGTTGAAACTCTGAGATTCAGGCCAAATCCCACTGTCAAACACTCCGACAATGATATCACTTTCAACGTCGACCCTTCTTGAGACTCTTTGAGGGAAGCCCATGAAGTCCCATGGCTTTGTTGTGTGGAGTTCCATGTTTTCATTAGGAAACACAGACACTACTCCTTCCATGCCTGCAAAAAAAAAAAAAAAAAAATTAAAGCAGTCAAGAGAGGTTAGGGAGGACGAGAAACAAATCATTGGATAGATTAAGTAATTAAATGAAATTATAAATTAATCACCCACTTGCAATTTTCTCCTTCTCTTCCTCTGTCAGCGTTGCTACAAACCCATTAAAGCTCCTCTTGTAGCTATACAGTAAAGATTCTGATGCCCTACTGTTGAATATTGCATTCCATTATAAATATATATGTTAGTTATAGTCCAATGGTATAACCTCTCCTCTGCTGTTGGGGAGGTTGAGGGTTCAAGTTGCACTAGGGATATGTAGATAATGAGTTTGTATCTTCTTCAACTTCAAAAAAAAAAAATTTCTTCTTGGATTTATGCAATTATTATGCATATACTCGGCCATGTGTTTGACAATTAATTTTACATGCCAAAGTTAAAATCAGCTGTTCATGAAACTTGAAATTAAAAGAGAAAAAAAGAAGAAGAAAAGGATTGACAACCATAGTATGCTTTGCCGTTACCTAGTACTGCATGTAAGAAAGAACTTTGCTTTCTTGTTTTTCTACTTCATGTTTAATAATTTGTGCCGGTAGGATTCAATGCAAATGTGACAAGAAATTGCATTAAGCATGTTCAATTTTGTGATTACCGCATTATGGAGCACAACTTAAGATCATATTATTTACTGCCTTTTGACATGTTTATATATGGTATATGCTATATGCTACAAACACATATACTCAAGTATATGTAGTGACCTGCCAACAACTTCCTGTAGCATGCTCGCATGTAGGAATGATGCAGAGAGATGACCCTTGGGACGGTCACCCATGTACACAATGTATTCCTGCAACCACAAAATGATCAGTTTTAACCAAGTCTATCAGCATATAATATATATATGTGTGTGTATGCGTGTTAGCGCAATGATGCAGGCTCAAATACATATCTTGAGTATCATCATTGAAACTGAGATATACCATATATAAAACCCAAAGTTGAGTAATATTTCTCGATGACGGTTGTTGATAATGCAACTAGCAAGCCTTGTTCACAGCATAATGATCAGGCTCTAAAAACCTTAAAAGCAATATGAATCATAATATAGATATATACATTATACATGCCTTTTGATCTCCATCAGATGCTCTGATGAAGCTAGTAAGTAGAGCACAAGTAAGGCTTATCAGGATAAGCCATAAAGTAGGAGACTTTTGACTAGCCATTAGAGAGGTCTCTCCAAAGCTTGAGCTCTATTGCGGGTATTTCCATGCAACAAACAACGAATGGGCTTTTATAACAAGATGAGTTGTTAACATAAGGGTAAAATAGTAAAATCATTAGTCGTTTAAAAATGGGTCACAACTCACAAGGATCACATGCATCTCCAATTCAAAAGTTTTACTAATTCTGGCACATTTGGCTGAGCATCACCAACCATATCCTGAACCAATAAAAAAATGACTTGTGCCTGACGTCAGTTGAATATAAATAACTAGCCCGTGTAATCACATGGACTCGATCACATATTTCTAATTCCACCCACCGACCACATCCTGAACCAATTAATAAAAAAACACTTTGACGTCAGTTGAATACGAATAAGTAGCCCGTGTTCACATGGACTCGATCAGTTATCGGATTCGGAGCTTGTTACAACTATCTAAACTCATAGTTATATTTATTGATTTAAAAATTGAAGTTACTTACTAGTGCTGCAGACTCACTTGTATTAAGTCCACCACTTTCTTCATCTAAATTTGATATGCGAAAAGAATTTCTAACATTTTTTTTTTACCCAAACTTATAATAGCATCGTTATGGCTCATTTATAGTGTACATTATCCATCAGTCTCTATAGTACCTGTTGAGGTTGAATTTCGCCGCGGTCTAGTACGACACCGTTTCCTGCAAAATAAGGATGGCAAAGTCAAACACCGGTGTGGTGCCGGCCGTTGACCCTCCGACGATCAAGTTAGTAAGGATTCTCGATAGAGAATTTTAATCGTAATTCGCTTATAGTCACTTCCCTTATTCTTGATAAGGGAATTTCATCGTCCATAACCCATGGAGCCTACCTCGTGGAAATCATATCCTTGATAAGATTTGAACTTACCCCATGACAAATCCTATCATAGATACGATTTGTCATCATTCTTATCTAATAGAATGGTTATCCTTAATAACGAGATATTATCGTCTGAGAGTTGGAGAAATCTAGTGGCCGGTCAATATTTAATTTCCTTTTTCGTTAAGCCAAGATAGGGTAGGGTTATTTTTCCCTATCAGTTGCCCCTTATTTCTGGGTACGTGGTGGACCAAGGAAATACTTTCTATATTTCATTTGTTTCCTTTTCACTACAGGCCCCTTCCATATTGTAGTAGGACTCCTTTACAAGAACTTCACTGTTACTTGAAAAAGAATTTTCTTTCCTATAAATAAATAAATAAATATATTTATTTATTTACCTTCCTTTTCTTTTTGGTCTGAAATCCTCCAAACTGGATCCTAACTGTGAGTTTATTGTGGATCGTTGTAGATACGTAATTGGGTCAAGTTGTCTCTACCGGGTTATCGGTGTAACTCCAAAGTGGTTTCGCTATTTTCGCGATATCCGATACCTCATCATGTTCGTGCAGAAAAATAACTTGAATACTGAATCTCAATCCGAGGACTCAACCTCTGAAAGTGTTGAAGAACTCGATCCTGACTATGCTGATGAATCTGGTGTTGATTACTTCTCAAGACCAAGGACTGGTTTTTCCAAGCAACCTCCTCGTGAAGGAGAATCCTTAATTAAGGATGAGAATTTACAGAGTTGTAGAGTTAAATATTCCATTCCTTCATCTATTCGTCTTCACAAACCCAAACCAGAAGATAGATGTTCTTTTATTCGTTTGGGTGAGGTACGTTTTTTCGAGTCGACTTTTGTTGCGGGCTTGCATTTTCCGATTCATCCATTTGTAGAAGAAATTCTTTCTCATCTGAAGATAACTCCTTCTCAAATTGCTCCTAATTCATGGAGAATTATTATAGGCTGTTTGATTGTTTGGGGAAAGTGTGGCAATGGCCGTCTAACAGTAAATCAATTCCTGCATTTTTATTATCCCAAGAAGAAAAAAGACAATTTTTGGTACTTCCAGTGTAGATCAAAGAAGACATTCCTCCTTGTTGCAACCCCTGAAAATAATAAAGGTTGGAAGAGTCGTTTCTTTTTTATTTCCGGTGCATACGGGAAATTTTTAACTGTTTGGAATAATTCAGATCCAACAGGTAAGATTTATATGTATATAGTTTCCAAATTATTATTATTATTATTTATTTATTTATTATTATTATTATTTTTTTTTTGCACCCGAGGGAACAGTACCCGCGGGTACTGTTCATGAATGGGATTTTCTTTTTTTATTTTTTATTTATTTTTATTTTTTGCACTCGAGGGAACAGTACCCTCAGGTACTGTTCATGAATAGTACCCTCGGGTACTGTTCATGAATAGTACCCTCGGGTACTGTTCATGAATAGGAAAATAAATTTTTTTTTTTTTTTTGCACCCGAGGGGGTACTGTTCATGAACAGTACCGCGGGTACTATTTATGAATAGGAATATATATATATATATATATATATATATATATATATATATTAGTGCAACTTATTATTCTTTTTCCCAGAATTTAAGGACAAACCAACCCTCTCCATTCCAGAAGCCGAGCATGTTGGTAATGCCTCTTCTTACCCAGTGAAGACCTTTAGCGATCTCATAACTGACGAGACTTTAGATTTGTATGTACGAGCTCATAGCTCAAAGGAAACCTCCACCCACTTAGAGAAAGGTAAGAAAAACAAAGATACTTATATGTGAACTTACTGATTTTAGTTAATATCTCATTAAGTATTTCCCTTATTACTTTCTATGCAGGCAAGAAGCTCAGTAAAAGGCTCCTAGCCCAAGTCCGGTCAAGTAATCTCCCTTCTACTCCTGCTTCCAAAAAATTACGAAGGGTAGGAGAAGGGAATCATGGTACATCCGCAAGCCCTAGAGTGTTATCAGGCCCTACTCTTGTACCTCTAGGTTTCAGCGGATCTGGTGGGGTTCCTACTAGTTTCGAAAGTTTTTGTTCAGTATCAACCAACCAAGCCTTTTCCCACGAGGAATCGGTTCTCGATGACGCTAATGTCGCGAATGACAGGTTACATAAAATGGTAGTAAAAGACGATACTGCCAGATTGCAGAGTCTGCCAGCATCTGAGCTTTCAAAGAAATTTCTTCATCTAATCAGCCAGGTGAGATTTTACCCTTATTATGTGCATCTCTTTTTTTCGTTTATTTATTTATTTTTAATTGTTCGCCACTATTTATTTATTTATAGGGCACTACATACTCTGTTGTTATCGCCAAAGAATACGAGAAGCTTTCCCTAGAGATGGCTTCCCTCAAGGCTAAATATGAAGATGTTACTTCTACACTTAAAATAAAAGAAGATGACTTGACTAATGCAAAATTAAACTTTCAAGATGAGAAAGTGAAACTTACCAAAGAATACTCTGATAAGCTGGAATTCGAGAAGCTAGCTGCCGTGGAGAGTTTTAAAAATTCTGATGAATTCAAGGTGCTCATAGGCAAGGCTTGCTGTGATGGTTTTGACCGGTTCAAAGCTCTTGTCGGCAAAGATTGTCTAGACATAGACTTTTCTAGGTATGACGTTCTAAGTGAGAGCGAAGAGGAAGATTGAATTCCATAGTATTAGTCATATATATATATATTAGGTTTTTGATTTCTCAGTATGTTATTCCTTTAAAACTTTTCAGAATATCTCTGAATCCAGAGAATAGTTGCTCTACTTTTGTCTTTCATGGTCTTGTTTCATACTTGTTGTTTCCTTATACAGAACTCATTTTAATTTCCCAGGCTTCACTCAGCCTGTCCTTCTTTCGAAGGAACATATTTTTACGAGCTTTACCCAGCTCGTCCCTTTAGTAAGGGAAAGTCACTTATTTCTTTTAATAAAGAAGTGGACTTAATGTGTCACTAGTCCTTACGTGACTTATAAAATTCAGTAGAAACACGTGCAATAAATACGAATAACCATTTTATTAAAGACCTATCGAAAATAATAATCGATAGTTGAATATTAGCATCCGTTACACACTGGTCTGTTTTATTGTAGCTAAAAACATTCTATCACTTTTAAAAGTGAGATAATAAAATAAAACACAGCCTGGCATGAGTACCTACTGGTAATATTTCCTCAAATATTCTGCATTCCATGGGTGGGGAAGCTGGCTCCCACCAAGTGACTCTAACCAATATGCCCTTGGTCTGTTGCTTTTGGTTACTCGATAAGGGCCCTCCCAATTGGGAGCTAACTTTCCTTCCCCCCTTTCCTTAGTAGCCGGGGTAACCTCGTGAAGCACCAGGTCTTCTGGCTCGAACCTCCTTGGCTTGACTCGGGCATTGTAGTACTTGGATATCATCCGCTGGTAAGCCGCAACCTTGACCTGGGCCTGCTCCCTTTTCTCTTCTACCAGGTCTAGGTTTAATCGTAGTTCTACCCCGTTCTGTTGAGGTTCAAAATACTTGGTTCTAAAGGTAGCAACCTTTGTTTCTACCGGGATCACAGCTTCACTTCCAAAAACTAACCCAAAAGGGGTCTCCCCAGTAGGGGTTCTTACGGTAGTGCGATAGGCCCATAAAACTCCGGGTAGTTGTTCAGGCCACAAGCCCTTGGCCTTTTCTAGGCGCGTGACTTCAACTTGCCTATTGGCTTGGGGATGGGCACGAGATGAGAAATGAACTTTGATCCCAAGTTCATTACAAAAATCGAGGAACTGCTCACTTTCAAACTGCTTCCCATTATCGGTCACAATTACCCTTGGTGCTCCGAACCTGCAGATTATTGTCTTCCAGAAAAACTTTTTTACTTCATTCGCTCCAATATGAGCTAATGGCTCAGCTTCTACCTATTTGGTGAAATAATCGATAGCCACAATTACGTATTTAGTTTGTCCCTTCCCTTGGGGTAAGGGGCCGATGAGGTCTGTCCACCATTGGGCAAAAGGCCACGGCCCTGTAAGAGGGGTTAACTTTTCTGTTGGTTGTTTTGGGACATTGGCGAATCTATGACACTTGTCACATTTCTTCACAAACTCAAGTGCATTTGTCCTCATAGTAGGCCAAAAGTATCCTTGTCGGATAGCTTTATGCGCTAGTGATCTGCCCCCAGCATGATTTCCACAAAGGCCTTCATGTATGTCTTTTAGAATGTAATTTGCCTCATCAATGGAGACACAACGCAAGTAGGGTAGGGAAAATCCCTTTTTGTAGAGAACCCCATCAATGAGGGAATATTTTGCCGCACGCATCCTAATCTTTCATGCGGTCCTGGGGTAGCTCTTCGTTCTCAATGTACCTGATAATGGGTTCTGCCCACTCCATGCCGTGGGCCACCTGGTGTATTTTCTGTGGATAATCCCAGACCGTGCTAGGCTCATCCAAATATCCCACGGGTATGGCTTTATCTTCCTCTATGGTTGCCAGTCGAGCCAGGGCGTCTGCCTGCGCATTCTCTTCTCGGGGAATCCGGCGAATAGAAAACTTCTTAAAAAAACCCTTGATATCCTCTATCTTATGTAAATAGGTCTTCATCTTCTCATCCTTGGCTTCATATTCCCCCTGGACTTGTCCAGTTATTAGTTGAGAGTCAGTATATGCTACTAGTCGTTCAACTTCCAAAGCTTTCGCCATCTTGAGGCCTGCTAGGAGGGCTTCATACTCTGCCTCATTGTTGGTTGCTTTAAAACCAAACCTGAGTGCATATTTGATGCATTCCCCATTTGGGGAGATAATTACTAGTCCTGCCCCACTTGTACGGGCGTTGACAGATCCATCCACATATAACGTCCAAGTAGATTCGGCTTCTTCCTGCTTATCTACAGCATGCTCGGGCCCATCTTCTGGTGTGAATTCCACTATAACATCTGCCGGTACCTGGGCTTTTAAGGCCGTTCGGGGTTTGTATTGGATATCGAACTCTCTAAGTTCTACCAACCACTTCATGAGTCGCCCTGAAGTATCAGGTTTGCGGAGAACCTGCCTAAGTAGTTGGTCCGTCAATACTATTATTGTATGAGCTTGAAAGTAAGGCCTGAGTTTCCTCACAGAGATAACTAGAGCAAATGCCAACTTTTCTATCCTTGGATACCTTTCTTTCGCCCCCCTGAATGCACGGCTAATATAATATACCGGTTTCTGGTTTCCATCCTCTTCGCGGACCAAGGCTGAGCTTACTGCCGACGGAGAAACTGCCAAGTACAAATACAACTGTTCTCCTTGCATCGCCCGCGACAATAATGGTGGTGAAGTGAGATACTCCTTTAGCTCTGTAAAAGCTTGCTCACACTCAGGGGTCCATGAAAAAGCTTTCCTGAGCACACGGAAAAAAGGCAAACACCTATCGGTCGCCCTGGAAATCAACCTGTTTAGAGCTGCGATCCTTCCTGTCAATCTTTGAAGTTCCTTGGTCAATGTTGGAGACTGCATGTTGAGAATCGCCTGGACCTTCTCAGGGTTAGCTTCTATCCCTCTTCTACTTACCATGTAACCGAGAAATTTCCCAGAGGAGACTCCGAAGGCACATTTACTTGGGTTGAGCTTCATCCGGTGTTTCCTGAGGACTTGGAACGTTTCCTGTAGATCAACCAGATGATCTTGAGCTTTCAAGCTTTTTACGAGCATGTCATCCACATACACTTCCATATTCCTTCCGATTTGGTCCTTAAACATCAGGTTTACTAGCCGCTGATATGTTGCACCAGCATTTTTTAGCCCAAAAGGCATCACCTTATAGCAATATAAACTTCTGTCTGTGATGAAAGAGGTTTTATCTTTGTCTAGTGTGTGCATTGAGATTTGGTTATACCCTGAGTATGCATCCATAAAACTGAGCAGCTCATGGCCAGCTGTCCCTTCTACCAATATATCAATTCTTGGCAGAGGGAAACTGTCTTTGGGGCACGCCTTATTTAAATCGATAAAGTCTACGCATAACCTCCATTTTCCATTGGCCTTTTTTACCAAAACAACATTGGCCAACCAGTCGGGATAATGAACCTCTTAGATGAAATCAGCTTTCATAAGCTTATTCACCTCTTCTGATATAGCCATGTTCCTTTCCGCGACAAATGTTCTTCGTTTTTGCCTGATAGGTTTAAATGTAGGATCTGTGTTTAATCGATGCTCAATCGTAGTTGGATTAATACCGGGCATGTCTTCTTGTGACCAAGCGAATACATTTTAATTCTGTCTGAGGAACTGTATAAGAATATTTGTGAAATCTGAGGAGAACAGAGACCCTATCTTCACCTTTTTTGTTATGTCAGTGTCATTCAAGCATATCTCCACCAAGTCCTCGATTGGCTTAGCCCGGTCTTGCTCATTCTCTTCAACTTCATCGACAATCAAAGCCTCCTGCTGTCTCTTTTCTTTGAGAGAGGCAACATAGCATTCTCTGGCAATGGACTGATCTCCTCTTAGTTCGCCCATGCCATGCTCGGTAGGGAAGCGCATTAATAGGTGATAAGTCGAAGTGATGGCCCTTATCGAATTTAAGGTCGCTCTTCCTAGGATGACATTGTAAGCAGATGGACAATCCACCACCAGGAAGTCGACCATGACAGTGACTTGTTTTGGGCTGGTTCCTGCAGTGACAGGAAGGATGACTGCTCCTAGAGGATAGAACTTGTCTCCCATGAATCCCACCAATGGTGATCTAGTAGGTCTGAGTTTCTCCTTACCAATCTTCATCTTGCTGAATGCATCAAGAAAAATGATATCAGCTGAACTTCCATTATCTGCCAAGATTCGCCGAGTATTATAGTTAGCGATCATCATGGTGACGACAAGAGGGTCGTCATGAGGTTGCTGCATATCCTTCATGTCTTCATCTGAGAATGTAATAACTGGATCACCTAAACGAGGCATCTTTCGATGTTGAATCTGTACTCCTACTTCGCACACCTCAGATGAGCTTCGCATTCTCCTAGCATAGGCCTTACGGGCTGAGCTCGATTCTCCACCTCCTGCACACCCCCCAGCTATGACCCTGATCTCTCCTATTGGTTGTTGATCAGGAGGGTGGTTGTCTCGGCCTGCTCTTAGTGGGTTAATGTCGGTTCTGTCATTCCCAACAATAAACTTTCGTATGTGCCCCCTTCGGATCAGAGTCTCAATTTGATCCTTAAGGTCAAAGCAATCCTCTGTAGCGTGCCCATGGTCTTTATGGAACCTGCAATACTTATCATGAGGTCTCCTTGCCAGATCTGACTTCAACTTCGGTGGCCACTTCAGATATAGTTCATCCTGGATCTGCAGGAAAACTTGATCTATTGGCATATTTAAAGGAGTGTAATTTGTATACCTCTCCGCGTTCTTATAGCGAGATGCCCTTTCATTCTGGTTGACCATGGGTTTCTTATACTTGGTTTCCTTTTCATCTCTGATCGTCAGGGTCGGCCTTTTCTTGTCTGACTTCTTATCCTCCCCTTCTTTTCCCTTTCTCGCAATCATTGCATCTTCAGCATTCGTATGTCTTTTAGCTCGAACCAATAACTCGGCCATGTTGGTAGGAGGTTCCTCTGATAAAGAGAAGAGAAATATTGAGGTTTGAAGTCCTCCCATGAAGGCGGCTAGGGCCACCTTGTCATCCGCTTCCTCCACCTGTAACATCTCCGTGTTAAAACGACTAATGTAATCTCGCAGTGACTCTCCCTTCTGTTGCTTCACAGTAAGGAGGTGGGTAGCCGACCTTCTATGCCTTTGGCCAGTAATGAAATGGCCCACAAAGCCCTTACTCAATTCTTCAAAGGTTTCGATGGTTCCTGGCTTTAGTTTGTTGAACCATACCCGTGCTGATCCTTTAAGAGTCGTTGGGAAAACCCTGCACATGATCTCATCCGGCATCGCGTGTAGGTGCATAAGCGCCTGAAAAGTCTCCAAGTGGTCGAGGGGATCTTTAGTTCCGTCGAAACTCTCAATTGTGGGCATTCTAAATTTGCTTGGCAAAGGGCATTTCATAACTGAGGGGCTGAATGGCAAGTTGGTCTTCTGCACCAAACCATCTATGGCTGCAATGCCTTTTCCCTTCATGGCCTGCATCACACCCTCTATCTTTGCCTTGAGATCCTGCATCTCTAGGTCAACGTGGGAAATTTCCTCGGTCTTTTCAATGACAGTCGTGTCCTCATGGGGTCGGGAACTCCATGGAAGAAAGGGGTGGATCACCTCTCTATGTCGGTTTCCCACCTGGCTTTGCTCAACTTCGGTCTCATGTCGGGAAGGATGAGTATCCTGCTCTTCCAGATTCCCATTACCCCTGTTTGGATTCGAGAGGTCTTGGCGTGGCAAGCCCTGTTGAACCGGTGGAACAAGGTGTTGCAGGAGTGCTGCATTTTGTTGGATCAACTGGTCCATACCCTGATTCAGAGTTTGGACCTGCAGTTCCAATGCTGTAAATCGTGTCTGGTCATTTGGGACGTCTAGATTTTCACCCGACTCTTCCCTTTGACCAGGTCCCTGCGACGGTGTTCCTTCGGTAACCATACCGGACCGCAAACGTCTATACCCAACGAGTAATAAATTGATTCAAGGGAATCGCTGTTCCCACAGACGGCGCCAACTGTTGAGGTTAAATTTCGCCACGGTCTAGTACAACACCGTTTCCTACAAAATAAGGATGGCAAAGTCAAACACCGGTGTGGTACCAGCCGTTGACCCTCCAACGATCAAGTTAGTAAGGATTCTCGATAGAGAATTTTAATCGTAATTCGCTTAGTAGGAGTTTTTTTTTTGTGTACCTTATTCCCGAGTCGTCTTTGTATTTATAGTCACTTCCCTTATTTTTGATAAGGAATTTCATCGTCCTTAGCCCATGGAGCCTACCTCGTGGAAATCCTATCCTTGATAAGATTTGAACTTACCCCATGACAAATCCTATCCTAGATACGATTTGTCATCGTTCTTATCTAATAGAATGGTTATCCTTAATAACGAGATATTATCGTCTGAGAGTTGGAGAAATCTGGTGGCCGGTCAATATTTAATTCCCTTTTTCGTTAAGTCAAGATAGGCTAGGGTTATTTTTCCCTATCAGTACCCATCAATAATCCCATGTTTCAGTTTGTAAATATTGATCTTTCACATCATAGATTTTAATATTATTGTACATGATGAACAAAAAAAAAAAAAAAACCGGATCCTATCAAAATTTTCCGGCCTAAGATAACGAGCTTAGAAGGAACTTTATTACAAAAATAAAAATAAAAATTAGCGTCATTTTTGAATCACTCTGGAATAAAATTGGAAAATCATTTCTATTTTAATCTCTCTGTTTTTCATTTTTCATTTTTGAATTGTAACATGTAGAATGATGCAATTATCAGTGGCGTACTCTACCACTAAGCTAATAGCCCTTCTTGCTTTAGTTTTTGTTTGTGATGACATGGTGAGAAACTTGGTTTTTATATTAACACAATTTGGCATTAAAACATACGTACTAATTGAGTTCTAATTTTATGTTTACTTTGAATCTCGATTTCGAAAGTTGAATGACAATTGACCGGCCAAAGCTCAATACCTATCGATTTGATTTGAACATCACTTAGACAAAGTAAGTGAGTGTGTGAGTACACTTATTTTTGTGAAAAGATTTGTGAATATTTTGAACATTCAAAATAATTTTTGAAAACCTTCAAACGAGTTGAGTGGGGCCTTCAAAAACAATACGAACATTAGTTGTTGTGTTAAGCCAATTTCTAACTAATACTTTTGACAATATCTCACTCCAAAGTTGATCTTTACAAGGTTAGAAATTAGACCGGATAAGATTTCCAACAATATATTTTTTCCGTAATTTTTCCAATAATATATTATAGGAAAATTATATATTGGTGACCAAAACTAAACATAATTGCTCTATAGTGACTTTAAAGTCAAGAAAAGGTGAATAGTGACCAATATTAAAACTTAATTGATATTAAGTGACTATTTGGGGATAATTTGGTCAAAAACACTTAAAGATTTGATAAATCTTTTAAAAATAAATTTTAGATGACGAAGTTGTCATCTAATACAAATAATAAGTCATTGAATTCATCCTCCTACTCTCTCTCTCTCTCTTTCATCAAATGTTTTCTCTAATCTAACATTATCTTTTTTTCTTTTTAGTTTACAATTTACCAATTTAAAAAATTAAGATTTCTTTATCAACATTATCTCTTTTCCACCATTTATCTATTTTTTAAGGCTCTCCACCATGAACGCGCATAACATTTACAGTGGCAAATTATACTTTTGAAACATCCATTAACAGTTAGCAAAATTATAGAATTTACCAACAATAGTCATTATTTCTTAAACTATAACTAAGTATTAAAAAATTCCTAAAAATTACAATCTTATATCTTAAGGAATATTTCTCAGACAAATCAACTTGTAAAGTATAATAACTATACCTTGAAAATAATGAATAAGAAGAAAATTTATAATTTTCTCGTCCTGCCTCTTAGAACATTGAAGAAAACGATATAGAACATCCATCCCCAGTTCTCTCCCATCTTGGTCTTCTTCAGAAACTTACCCTAATAATTTGCCGTCTTTTTGTTAGTTAATTTAAGTAAGTGTTTATTTAGGTTAATGTAGAGGATTAATTTGTCCACTTACATAATAATATATTATAAGAAGGTTATTTAGGTAATAAACCATCAAATGGTCACTTAATATCAATTAAGTTTTAACATCTCCAATTGGTATGAGGTCTTTTGGGGTGAAGACCAAGAGCAAAACCGTGCGGGCTCAGGCCCAAAGCGAACAATATCATACCATGTGGTGGAGTGGGTCGTTACAAATGGTGTCAGAGCCTGACCCAGCCGGAAGTGCGCCGATGGGGACGTCGGGCCTCCAAGGGGGGTGGTCACTATTCACCTTTTCTTGACTTTAAAGTCACTATAGAACAATTATGTTTAATTTTGGTCACTAAAATATAATTTTCCCTATATATTATTTGCTTAATTTTGAGTTCTTTTGACCCCTCAGTGAAGTTCGGAATGTTTGTCCTGTACAGTTCAACTAGAGTGGCATAAGTGATTTGGTTCTACAGATTTATAATGTTACACAATTATACAAAATTTCTTCAATTCCCTTTTGTCTTGTTTTTTTTTTTTTTTTGGTAAGTAATATGTTGCCTTTATACCTTTAATTTTTTGGACCTACATACACTTTCCTCTCACCAAGGAAGCTCATTATCACGTGGGGTTGTAGTGCAGCCCTGAAAACCAAGCAAAGCTCATTCTCATGTGTATCACGTGCTTCCCTAGTAGAGTATAAGATGGTGATATTATTATACCTGTAACTTGGATAAATATAAGGTGATAATATTATTATACATGTGTGTGAGTGCGCACAAATTCGGCTTACTTCTTTGTTATTTAATTATATTAAATTAATTTCGTTCAAATGGTGAAACATAAGGAATCTGAAGTCGTGTTTTCGCTGAATAGTTCTAGGTTGGTGGCATCAATTATCTAGTATTCATGGGGGTTCTGAGGAAATAAATTATCTAGTCAAACATAGCCGAACTAACCCTAAAAGACATGCAGCCTAGTGTCACGCCCCGCAACCAAGAGGCTACGCCACGCAGACGCCCAGTAGACGATAACATGGAGCCTGCATGGACCGGAGCTTTCTAGACTTCTCTACACAAGTATGGAACTTTCTGGAATTCTTTAGATTAGTGTGGAGTTGTCTAGCCTTTTCTAGACTTGTCTAGAGTTGTATAGAATTCTCTAGATTTATCTTGAACATTGTACATAGTTCTAGAATTGTGTAGATATTTCTTTGGAGGATTCTAGACACTCAATATAGGCCACACATTTGTATACATCTAGAATGTTCTTGTAAGGTCCAAAGGCCTATAAATAGGAGGTGGGAGTTCATTTGCTCCTCACCAAGCAACCTAAGTTGTAATCTCCTCTCAAGTAATACAAGTGTTCATACATTCCCAAACTCTCTTGTTCATTTGCCTAATCTCTTCCTACACACCCAAGTAAGCAAATCACTTGTCTAGCCTTAGTTTTCACTAAGCTAGCATACTCGGGCAGGCTGACTTAGCATTTTAAGGGGGCTTAAAAGTGTCTAAGGCCGCACGTGAGCTTGGAAAGGTCCAAGTCCGTAACAGTTGGTATTAGAGCTAAGGTCGTGAGGCGTCACACCTTGTGTAGAGGAAGCTATGGCAGAGCAATCAGACGTGACTAACAACCAAGAGGAGGATCTACGTGGAAGGGAAACAAATCTCCCTCCAGTAGGAGTGAGGACAAAGGCTAGGTCGAAGGACATCATGGCGGGCTTAGAGGCATGTATGGCAAACATGGAGGGGTCCATAGCCAACGTGTTAGAGTAGCTTGAAGATGCTCACCAGCGCATGGATGGGCTGAAGTCGGAGGACGCTGAGGTCCAAAATGTTGTCAAAGGGTCACTCAATGCCCTAAGTGGTGACTTTTGGCAGGAGCTCCAAGCACTTCAAGAACTTATGTTGGGCGAGTTTGCCACCCTACATGGCTATGTTGATTAGGAGCTTGGCACTTTCCGCGAGCAAATGGAGGAAATACGAGCGGACTGGACATTGTGCAAATGGGCGGTAGCGTCCGACACAGCTACTACGAGGGTAGTAGCACCCCGGGTTGATATTCCCAAGCCTAAGTGCTATGGTGGGAACCGGGTAGCGAGGGAGTTGGAGAACTTCCTCTTCAGCATGAAGCAATACTTTAAGGCTACAGGCATGACCGATGAGACCATCAAGATACGCACAGCGACCCTCTACCTCACCGACTATGCCATGCTATGGTGGAGGAAAAAGTATAGTGACATGGGCAAAGGTACAATCTCTATTGATACTTGGGCTAATTTCACTAGGGAAATTAAGAAGCATTTCTATCCTGAGAATGCCGAGGATGAAGCCAGGGGCAGACTCCGAAGGCTAAAATATGTTGGGTCGATTCGGGATTATGTGAAAGAATTCACTAACTTGACTCTTGAGATCCCGGATCTATCTGACAAAGACTCTCTTTTCTTCTTCATGGATGGCTTGCAGTTGTGGGCTAAGACAGAGTTGAGGCAGCGCAACGTGCAAGACCTTGCCACAGCTATTGCAGATGAGGAGTCCTTTATTGATTTCAGCTCCAAGAAGGAACCCTCGTCCAAGCTAAAGGACAAAGACAAGGACAAGGGGCGGTATGCCGGCAAAGGTGGGGGAGACAAGGGCGCTGCACCCCACAAGGATTGGTCCCGTAAGCCAGGTGGTGGCCACGGTGGCAAAAAGGGAAGGGAGAACAAGGAAGGAGCACCTAAGCCTAAGGGTTCTTGCTTCATATGTGATGGACCACATTGGGTAAGAGATTGCCCAAAGCGGAAGACCCTCAATGCCATGACGAGCCATTACGAAGAACAACAATAGGAGGAGGCACAGATGGGTTCACTACAAATCCTTAATGCCATCAAGGCTAAAACTGAAGTCCCTATGGCGGCGGCTAAGGGGCTAATGTTCATGG